TATATATATTCATTTTTTACAAAATAAAGGTCACAACCTTTCACTTGAGTGAACTGATAAACATTTCTTAGTTAATTTTCTTTTGCAGTTGCGTGAATATTCCTGTTAAAGTGTATTGTTAAGATTTGCATATAGCATACTGTGATGAGTCAAAATGTTGAACAGTTTTTTTTTATCACTACACCAGGGTCTGCCAAAGCTGCCTCTGCCCAATCTCCAGGACACACTGGACATGTACCTGAGGTGCATGAAGCACCTGCTCACCGAGGAACAATTCCACAAGACCCAGAAAATAGTGATGCAGTTTGGAGCCTCTGGAGGAGTGGGAGACACGCTGCAGAGCAAACTTCTGGAGAGGAGGGAGAAGAAGGCAAACTGGGTGAAGGAAAACTAAACAACAAGCTATCACTCCTTTAGTTGTTTTTCCATCATTGGGTTGTGATTTTATTTACACTGTGTTAAAAAGGACTTGCTTTTCCTGCTGTAGGTTTATGACTACTGGCTGAATGACATGTACCTGAGCAACAGGCTGGCTCTGCCCGTCAACTCCAGTCCTGCTATGGTGTTTCCACGACAGAACTTCAGAGCGCCGGTTGACTCTTTACGGTACGACGCACCGGGTCACTCTCTCAGTCAGACAGAACTACAGTCTCACCTCTTGGATGTGAGAACAAGTGATGGTTTTTTACAAAAAAAAGAAAGTTTTCACTAGTCACTTCTTGAGAGAAATTATAGCTGCTTAGATCAAGTGCTCAAACTTTGATTTATGATTCATCACACCCAGGAGATTAGATCATTTTTATTAGAAGAGGGAGGCCGCATTAAGCTACTGGTGACAAGATTAATAAGTAGAAGTATTTAAGTACAAGGAACAACAGCAGTACACTGGTGCTGACTGATGGATATGTGACATTTTAAACGCAGTTTGCTTCCCTGCTGTAGGTTTGCTGCACATTTAATTTCAGGAGTTCTGGAATACAAGACTCTACTTGATGCGTAAGTTACAGCAACGGCCTCATCTTGAGCATCGACATCCGCTGGATTGGGTTGAAATTTGAAAGAGCTGTGTGTGTGTTTGTGTGTGTGTAGTCATGCCCTGCCTGTGGATTATGCCCGGGGCCAGCTAGCCGGGACCCCTCTGTGTATGGAGCAGTATTATCGCCTCTTCACATCCTACCGCCTGCCAGGGTCTGCGAGGGACACACTCGTGGCCCAGGAGAGCACCGTGATGCCAGAACCAGAACACATCATTGTGGCTTGTAAAAACCAGGTCAGGTGTAAAACAATATCACGCAGTACAGCTCTGTCCATTCAGAAATCAGGTTTGGATAGATGTCGGGAGTTTTTAATCATATCAGGCAAAACTTGAACTTAACTGAGCTTAATTTTTAATGCTGAAATATTACCTGACCAACACCCCCCCAAACAAAAATGCAACTAAAGCAAATCAGAAGCCTCCAACTGCAAAATTACAGCAGAACCTGATACGTTTCAATTGGCAAAAAGTTATGTAATGTACAAGGGTGCAACTTTAGGTCTACCA